CAAAAAACCGCGGATACTTTTTAGATGACCCAATATATATCCAGAGATGGTAGTAGTGTAATGGAAGGGGCACCGGATGGAACAGACACTCACCTAGAACAAAGAACTGGTTAGGTCGAGTCGAAGCAGGCGAAGATGGCGGCGGGAGTGGGAACGCGAACGAGGCGGCATCCCAAAGACAGGCACGCCAAAGACGATAGGAAGGCACGGGCACGGCCTTTGACAGCGCGCAGCTGTTGCGGCGGAGCCAGGCAGGCGCGTTCCCATCCCGTGCGCGAAGCGAGAAGGCATCCGAGGTCACCGGGACGCGTAGCGCACGGGGTGGGGGATAGATCACACCGCTACTGCCTCGAAATCACTCTCTAGGGAAGTAATAACGCCATGCTGTTTTGGGCAGAGGTGTTGATCATAGTCGGTGCTGAGGTGAACAGTGACCCAATAGTTAAAGACGGTCTGGGTGGCGCTAAAAGCCTTTCCTGCACATGGATACATAATCTTGAAGATGGTATCCGTAGAATCCGAGCGCCATATAGCTGCGGCAGATGCGGGCCAACGAAAAGTACGGCGAACAGGAACAACACCCACAGATACAAGAGCAGCACGCCACACAGTATAATTACCTCGGCCAAATAGTTCAAGTTGATACACTGCAGGACTACTGGTACATGCATGAAGAGTAATGTACATAGCTCGAAAGGAGCGGTCCGCAGGCACTTCCAAATTATTAGCACCAACCGAATAGGTCTCTTGCAATTTGACAGTTACAAGATCATTCTCACGAAAAACTTGCGCTGTAGGGCATGCACAGCGGCGGCGGCGTGGTTGACGGCACGGCATATCACTAATCACATGGAGATTTGGCAGTACGCACTACTGTGCTCCTATACCACGACAAGGTATCTCCAATTATAGGGGAAGCGCACAGTCTATGGTAGGGTATATCTCCTCTTCGTCTAGGCGGTCCTTCGGAGTAAACTCATTAACGGCATTCCAACAAGTGACCACATCCCCCAAGATCCCTCTAGTGTATATACTAATCCCCCCCGAGATGTAGGTAGCGGGTGGCGTGAAATGTAGCAGGGTTTCCAGAGAAAAAAATACACGAATCAAAATTGTATCAAATAACATCGTTTTTATGTATCCACGAATTGTGTGATCCATCGAATCCCAGCCATTTGACGTCTTGTCTCCTTTCAGTACTTTCTCCACGAGATACACGTTCGGATGAGTAGCGCGACGTAACTCGCTCATAGAACGCAGCGAAGGATTTTCCGTGATTGTCCTCGAGTAAATAAGTTACGGGATTGATACGCTGCACTTTATCCATCGTAAACACCTTGATGGTCCAATTTGGTGTGTAACCCTTCTTAAAAATGTCTTATACTTGCTCACGCGTACCGAATCCCCCACTTCGAATTTTGTCGGACCAATAATTTTTATCACGCTGTACACCGTGTCTAAAAGTCTTTTGGCGATCGTGGGAGTTACGTTGGGGGGGGGGGGGAGGTCGCATGCCGATAGTGCAGTACTTGCGCGCGTTGTAATCTGAGATGCGGTAGCTCGTCGACCTACTTGTAATAAGTGTAAACATCTTCCACATGTCGTTTTTTAAGCGTGCGATTGAACTACTCGATCATTGCCGCTTTCAACATCGAATACGTGGAATAGTGATTAACGTCATGTTTTTTCAAGATTTTCTGCACATCAGCGTTATAAAACTCCTTCCCCATATCCGTTTATACATTTTTCGGACATTTTCCACTCGTTCGAATTATCTCAACGACGGCATCAGCCGTCTCGCTTCCATTCTTGCCCTTGAGCGGTATGGCCTACGTACTTGCTCAACACATCGATGACAGTGAGTATATAGTGGACTCTGTTGAAGCTCGAATATGAGCGCATCTCGACGATATCAGCCTGCTATAGATTGTCATATCCTCGAACTATGATGCGCCTTAGTGGAAAATTTCTTCTCGCTGAAGCGTGCAATTCCTTTTGCTGGATCTCTTTTTTATGATTAAACATGTAATACACAAAGTGCAAGAAAAAATATTTTTTCTTGCTTGATGCCACTCGTTTCGTCAATACGCGATAATTTATAATAAGATCGACTTCACGAAGTTCCTCAATCGACAGCATCTCGTTATTATAAGCATTGCCCGCTCAATGCGAAGCGTCGAGCAATCATAGACGATCCATCAACTTATTGGAATCGTCCCAGTACACGTAATCGATCGTGTTGTCGTTCAGTATCATTACGTAAGGTAATCCCTTTCCAGATTTCTTCTTCTGTTTCTTGGGTGTGATCGACATCAACGATGCGATTTGTACTTGTATCCCCTGCTCAATAATCGGTCCTACGAATAATGCTTGTGTTTGTGCGTGTTCGTCGCCCGCATACTCTTGTACTTGTTCATATCGTCTTCCGTATAGAGGAGATCGCCGGGAATTTTCTTGAAAATTAAGTTATAAAGATCGGGTGTATCGGCGTATCGTACGCCGTCGATATTTATGTTGTCCGCATCATCCATGTCGAAACGATTTATTACCAACCATCAATCCATCTTTGTGTAGGTAAACGCCGTATACATCATAGTATATACATTGCATACATATACTGTCAGATCGGACATGTCACGACACGTTTAACAGAAGCGTTGATGTTTTTGGATACATACATACATATATACATACATACATATGTGTTCATACATTGTTCGAGATCGGTAATTCAAAAAAAAAAGGGTAAGAATTCCTTCGGTCGACCGACAGTAATTGTTATTGAACGCACGCACAAGGCGAGCTCGTGATTTCATCTCGAGCCTGACTTTAAGCCTCATCAAAGTCAGAGATTCATTGTTCTTTAGCCTTTTTAAAACAATTCGGTTAACGCAAACAGGCACCGGCAACGGACCATCGAAAGTTCTAGAACAATTCAACTCGCGCACGCGAGCGCCGCGCTCCGACGAATACGTCACGCGCTATCACCAATCCCGCGTACGGATTTTCTGTCGCGCATGACTGTTACGTTGAGCGTCGCTAGAAAAGAATCGAAAGCGCCAATCAATTTTGTACAACCAATGCCACGTGATAATTACGATTGTGGCAAAATTTAATTGGATTTCTCCCAAGAAGAAAGCCCGGACCGGAAGTAATAAATGCTTCGATCTCGCCGGTCCTCAAGGCAGATTGCGCAGATTGCTAAAATAGTCTACACCGCTTATACCGTCTACACCGCTTAGAATTCTTAGACTTCTCAGAGTTCTTATTTCTAAAAGTTCTTCGAGTTCTTAGAATCATAGTCTCGCTACTATATCGCTTCGTTAAATCGCCGCGCTAACTGCTTAGTGAAATCGCGATAAAACGACTCTTTCCGAGAAAATCGCCGAGATTTTCCATCACCGCGATTCCAAATACAATTTTGGAAAAGGTGACCGCATTTGATATTTTGTTAATCTAATTTTTAATTAATTATATTCTTTGACTCTGTAACTGATTATATTAAAGAAAATTCTTTTGTTAAATTAAAAGAAACGGAGTTCTCTTTACTGTCGTGCATCATATCAACCTTGTGCCGTTCTCTCACTCGAATCTTTCCGCGCGGTGCGCTCTCGCACATACATATACGTTCATACATATGCGTTCATACATACAAGTACGTGTATTACAAAGGAAGGGAAAAAAGAAATACATAATTAATACGTTAACATATTTTTATTTAAAAAGTTCTTTTGTAACCACCAGTTATATATTTTCAATACATTTTGTAACGCGTAATTCTGAACATGTTGTTCACATAGTATTAACAACATCCAACTTGGTTAAAGATTCCATGTCTTCGTAAACTACATCCAAGGTCTCGATGCACATGCGTTTTCGCTCATCGTCCAAAAACAAGTTCCACAGCCACGTTCGTTTTTCGCATCCCTTAACGTACACGATAGCATCATCTTCAAATACAGCTGCTGTAATCAGACGTTTTGCCTCGTTGTACGGGACCATCTCGTCCTCCCATCGCAATCCATGATGATAAGCAGACCAAGAAGCGCAAAACCTGTTGGATCTTGTCAAAAATTTCCATGCAGAACTCGTAAAAAATGTAATGTGTAAGAACGGTCCCCTGTTTTCAGCACCGCCACTTCCTCCACGATAAATTTCTTGCTAACGATGAATCCTTGCAGATCCATGAACGTTGGCACGAGCATGTTGTCGAGAAGACTACGGTCGATTGCGACGTATCGTAGATCTTATATCATGTCAGAGGTGCATCTTAGGTGATTTTGCGCACAACGTTGGTCAATGGATTATACTGAACTACGCGATCGTGTATGATGAGGCTGTTGTATTTGCGGGTACATCCTCTTTACATTCAAAGTCTAATCGCACGTCCACGGTGCCACTCTTGACTGATTCGTTCTGTCGAGAGCAATCGATGATCACGAATGGACCATTACGTAAAAAAGTTGTAAAAGTGAGAGTCGGCTCGAGATACTCGTATCCGTAGTAGCCCTTGCAGAAACGCGCGTACAAGTCGTACAGAATCGCACATCTGTTTTCAAAATCCAAATTTAAGTCATCGTACGGATAACATTCCGAATTCAGGTAAAGTTTCGCATTGGTTAATTTGCAATCGTCGAATCGACTTACATCCTCAGACATGATGTTTTTGCGACCTGTTTGCATAGCGAAAATAACGTAGCGCGGCTTCTCGAGCTGAGTAGCCGTCATGATGGTCCACGAATGCTTAGTTGTGCTCTGCAAGAGCGGAAATTCGTACAGATCCTACGAGCGAAAAGCATGCTCAAATATCGTCCGCTCTCCAAAGTGCGCAGCATCGACAGCTTATTTATCTCGTTCAATAACACGTGCGGCATTCGCCACTGTACTTTGAATAATTCGAGCGTTGGCTCTATCGCCGTATCTCCCGTCAGACAATTATCGTTGTGCGCTCGTATTAAAATCAATTCGTGACGAGCGTTAATCACCAAGCATTTGTAATCTTCGCAAAATCCCAGCAGTACGTAGAACGGTACACAGAAATTAAAATATCCGGCTGCAGTAGTCTGCGCATCCCAGCCGGCATTCCGTAGAATCACGCTTCTGTCGGATGACACTGTTACATAGTTTTTGAGCGTGCTAGTTATATCCACATTTCTATTACGGTCAATCTCCACACCATTGAGTTCATATCGAATCTCATCGAATATGAATGCGACGCAATTATTTCCCAATGCCACATGAGCACCCTGGACCACTTTGTTCTTCGTCAGTTTTCCCTCAACATGTAGAAAGTTTTCGTACGGCAGTGTGTACAGATCCTGTTGCTGAATGGGTATTCTTATTTTGTCGTTGTACCCAAACGTTGTGTTGACGAACGGGTTGTACGTGTGAGTCTCAATCTTGATCGTCGAAGATCGGCTCGTCTTTAATGTTTAAGATATCAGTCATCTCAAATGTTGCGCACCGCGAATCCCAAAGACTTTACAAATGTAATGTTCGTCGCTCTGAATTTCTTCTTCTTCCTGATGTAGCTGGATGAGCGAGTGTTATCGAGTTGTGGCGTCACAGACCTTGTAAAGGATGCGTTATCTCTCTGCGTACGCTCCGGTCCGTTCAGTACGAGCATCTCACGATCACGTTATCACTGTCGCCGTCATACGTGCAATCTAATGGGGATCTCTTCTCCTCGAAAATCGAGCAATCATCCATTCTGATCGACGATGCATATCGTTAGATCTGTAATGCCGTGCGATGATCGGCAGGTAAATGATTTGCTTCGGCCTCTCCGATATCTTATATCCTGACGCCACGCTCGGCGAAAATTCATGTATCGTGTGCGCGCTTTTGCCGTTTCTGTATACACCCGTGGTCACATTACACTCTACGCGGATAACGTTTACATTCATTATGTTGATCGACACGTCCGATTCGTGCCACCTTCGCAGTATACGCTTTGTCGAGAATCCCAGCAGCGATGTTGTTGGACTTGCCAAAGTTTACGCACATCTAATCTCACATCTCATCGTGTTGTAGTTTGCGCGGAGCGTAATCGGGTATTCTTCACCCTCACCATTATCATCAGCATCAGTGTTATTGTTATTGTCATCCACTACATCAACGGTTTCAAGTCGCGGTGCGGATATTTTCGTAAAATCGCGCGTTTCAGAAATTCATTTATGTCTCGCACTTCGTACGAACCGGGAATTGTAATTTCCGCGTCGTCTTTGATGAAATAAAATTTGTTGTTCGATTCGTTCACGTTCGGTATCGTGTGATAAGTCTCAAAAATCAGCAAACCGAGCTCGTCACTCAAATCTATGGCAGAGAAGTAATTCGCCGTCGAGGACGGTGCTCTTTCCTCTCGCAGCGTAAGCGTCAACGATATGATGAAAAAAAGCGTTCAACTAATACTAAGATTTCACAGCACCTCGTCGAGCTTTTTAAATTCACGCGCGTCTATCGTTTGTAGAAACCGCAGACACATCTGTCCGCAGAAACTATGATCGTATGTCTGATAGAACGTGCGATTGTACTCTATCGTCGTAGCACCGTTCCCGAAATATCGCACCAGTTCCTTAGGCGGTCGAAGATTACCGAAACTGT